AGCACTGAGGGGGCAGGGGCAAAGGAAGCTGTGAGGTCATGGGCAGCCTGGGCTACATAGTGAGTCTGTGATAACTGATAGTAAATACAGTGTCCTTGTCTTAAAGCAAAGATAACTTCTCCCTATGGAATGAATAGCTACCAGAGGCACCAGTTAAACTTCCTAAAGTGGAAGCCAATGACCAGTCTTATCCAGCTAGGATGTCCATAAACTACATTAGTTCATGATACAATATCCCTGAGTGCAGTAGTGGCAAGCATACCTTGCTGGTGACCATTAGCTTTCTAGTTGGACTTAAGAATTACTTAATAAAAGAGAAGCAATCCTGGGTACTGGAAACCTGTTTAACTACTCAGTGCATGTGAAGTCACTGAATCCTGGCAGAGAACCAACAGCCACCCCTTTACTAAACCAGCGTAATCCCTAACAAAAATGTAAATCTTTCCTTTATACCCATAGATAATTGCAGTCTTTACCTGTTATCAAGGAACTTCTCTTTGCAACAGACTAAGACCACTGCAAATGAACCACAGCTAAGCAAAGTGCAGAGTTGTGGATGTCAGGGATAATGGATACACAAATAAAACACTCCTGAATATAAGTCTCAAGAAAAAATTTTGAAGCAGGAGATATAAAAGATGTAAGATCCAGACGATCAGGGTGTTTGCTATGAAATTGTGTCTCATTATGTGTTAGTCAATGTTGTCTAGAGTAACAGAACTGATAGAATGGATATATATATATATATATATATATATATATATATGTATGTATATATATATGATATATGTATATATCATATATGTGTACTGTATACTATACAAATAATATATGATATGAATTATATATACTCTTTTACCACATGTTGTATATATATTTTATATATGATATATATACATATATATATATATCTCATGACATACACACATATGTGCATGTGGTGATATTATTTGTGTTCTAACAAAAAATAAGCTTGACTAAAGATCAGAAGGCAGAGTCACTAACAGTTAACCATAGATTTCTGGAGGTCTGTACAGGCAGACAGGGAGTGATATGGTTTGGCTGAGATACAAATATAATGCAGGAGGAGACGACAGCTCAGCCCCTTTCAGGCAGAAGAGTTAGTGAGGTAGGAACTACCTCTGGCTTGCTCCTTGTCTCTCTAATATTTCAACATTTACCCCTATATCTGACTCCAGAATTTTATTATTAAGACCAATTAGACATCATGCTACACGAACACACACACACACACACACACACACACACACACACACACACACACTTCTATGCATGACTTATAGGCTGCTGTATAGCTAATGACAATGGCTGAGGACCATGATTCCATGTCCTCAGTTTACAAGGATGGATGTCTCAGCTGGTCTTCAGTATATAATGGAATACCAAAGAAGGAGGTTTCAATGCCAGCAAAGCAATGACTGGGTAGCAAAGATATGAGCCTATAAGCCAACAATGAGCAAAATGTTTATTATCCACTGTGTTAAGTAAATGGTTAAAAAAAAAAAAAAGTCATTCAAACAGCTCACATTCAATAAATCTAAATAACTTGAAACAGAATAAGGAAGGAGCATTTTTTTCTCAATTAGCTCCCTGATTGATGGTCTGTAACTTTCAGCTGCAAATAAAGAATCAGTCATTTTGTTATCTATCTAGAGAGGTAGTCCTCTAAAGGAGTTACAACACTAAACTACTGAGCAGTGTAAGAAGAATAAGGAAATTGTGTACTATATACTATACTTCTGAGTGTATAATTGTTTTAAACTAACATTCTGTGATCAGCAGTCATAAAATTCTGGGCTTTCTCTGACTTGGATTGCCCTGTTTACAAAGAGAGTTGTATCATAAATTCTTTAGTTTGGGCTCAGATTACCATAAATCTATTAGTATTAGCTCAATTGGCACTCCTAAGGTACAGTGCTTTATATCTGAAAATGAACTTTCTGCCCTGTGTGTAACCTTTGACCATGAAAAAGAAACTTGTAACTTTCTCAAAGCTATGAAGTCAACTTATTTTCTGTAGTCCTGGCCAGGTAGAAATGTTTCCTCATTTCCTAGACCTTGGTTAACTGTTCCCTGTAACTTGTGCAATTTAAGGACCCAACAGAAAAAAAAAAAAAAAAAAAAAAAAAGTTAGTTAGCTGAACCTTGAGTCTATCAGTTACATACCTATATCATAAAACTGAGGTCAGGAATCTGTGCAGAGAGTTAATCATTGCCCTAGGCTATTGGCCAGGAAGTTTCCTAGCAAGGAAACTGCATGCAGCAATTAGGCTAAAAAATTTAGACATCTTAGTTATATGTTCTTGTAAGGTAGAATGCTTTTCAGGAAGTAGCTTATCTTAAAAACCATTAGCAAGGCATCTGGTCTAATCTAAAGCAGTTTTAAAGCTTTATATCAGCTAATAGTATACAGCTGTCTTGGCAACTAGGGAAATGCAACTGTTTTCCTAATGTAAACCTGATCTGTGATCTAAAAAAAAACTATCTGTAAGCCCCAAACTGTGTAGCATTTCTTTGTGCTAATTTTTGTTGATTAAAACTCTGTATAAGCTAGTATTATTAACATTAGACAATAGAGCTTAAAGACTCACCTTCTTGATAATCCACAGAAAATAGAGGTTAAAGAATCATCGACTACCCATAGATAAAAATACCCAGTAGATAGGGATGTATGTATTCATGAGGTAACACACTATGATAGAGGCTGGGGGATTCCCCAGAGCTTCTAGGGGAAACTTGCAATAGCACATGTGAAATTACACACTGAAGCAAAAGATATTCCATAGTCTACAGCCTTGTGGCCTTTCTTAATGAGGTTTACCTACCAGAGAGTATCTACCTGGTGGGCTGAAACCTTGAATATTGTCATCTGCTGTTGTTATGACATGGTCTTTGGCAGCTTTTCCTGCATATGCATGTGTATTTTCCTTGTGCCTGCTAAGTCCAGAAGAGGGATTTAGATGTCCTGGAGTTCAGGTTACAGATTGAATGCCCATGTGAAGGTGCTGGGGATTCAAAATGAGTCTTCTGAAATAGCAGAAAGTGCTCTTAATCACTGAGTCCTCCCTAAAGCAGAAGTGAGTTTTATTGGTGTGATTTACAAGAGTGTGGGTGAGGGGCTACTTATAGAAGCACAAAGGACTCAATGACAGCTGCATCACACTATGAGAGTTGTATAAGGTATTGAAGCTGGAAACCTGTGGATCACTGCATAGCTCAAGAGAGGCTAGAAGTGACTTTAAAGCTGCTCACTGCCTTCTCTAGGCAGCTTGTCTGGTCTGGTCCAGGAGCTTGACTGGTATCTGCTTCGTGACTGGTTTGAGTATCTTCTGTGCAGTTCAGCTTGTCTGACAGTGTTAGCAGTCCTTACCAATTATATATGCTTGAGGTAGAAGGGCACTGGTTGAGTGTTGCCAGTTCCCGTGACTTTCCAAAGCTATTGAGTTTTCTATTCCTGAGCCTTAGGAGCTTCTGAATGACTGAATGTATCACCTCCCCTTAGAGCAGTGTCTTCCAACCCTTGTGCCACGATCCCTTTGGGGGGGGGGTCTCATATCAGGTATCTTGCATGAGATATTTAAAATTTCTCACAGTAGTAAAACTATCGCTATGAAACAACAAAATAATTTTATGGAAGGGGATCATAACATGGGGAACTTCATTAGAGCGCTATGTCATCAGGAAGCTTGAGAACCACTGCCTTAGGACATCCCATCCCTTTACCTCTCTTTTCATGCTCTGTGTTTGAAGGCAATTCCTCCAAGATGGAAAGATTTAATCCAAGAGGAAACTGATACACAATACCCATTACTGGGCATGAACTCTAAGGACTTGCCATTTTACTAATGAGCACTTGCCCATCATGTTGCTTTATTCACTGTTATCTAGGACATGGAATCAAACTAGATACCTATGAACAGAAACATGGGTAATTGAAAAAGTGATACTTATCTATATACTCAACATATTATTCAGGTATATATAAAAACCTAGGACCCAAAAGTCAAGCATCACATGCTCTCTCACATATGTGTCTTAAGCTACAATCTGTGTGTTCTAACACTACATGCAGAAACTAGGAATCTAGAAATGGACCATTAGTGGAGAGGGGGTGGGTAGTACAATATAGGTGATATGAATTTGAAAGTGAGATTTGGGCGTGGGCAGAATGTTTCAAATAATTAGTGAAGAGAAGGGGCTCCTGAAAGTTCAACCAAACGAGGTGACCATGAAGTGATGTAGGAACCTATCATTTTGAAGTCAGGTGGTTTGACTATCCTATGAAGATATTGGAGGTGAATAAAATCTATGATTTTATTAGTGTTTTCTTTAATAATGAAATTTCTTTTATCTTTGCAACTTCAGCACTATGTAAAGGATTTGTTGATCCAATGCATTTGGGGACGTCTAATTTCCAGTAGACAGAAGGGCATGGGGAATATGTATTCTATACCTTTATATGGTTTCTCAGAAGTATGAATTTTGTGATGTATATCACAATTAGAGGGAAAACTGAAGGTTTTGCCTTATTTTTTTATATGACTTTATTAGCATTTTGTTTTGTTTTTGTTAAGGAGACTATGTAGTCCTGCCTGTCCTAGAACTCAGTATGTAGATGATGATGTCCTTCACTCACAGAAATCATCTTGCCTGTGCATACTGAGTACAGGAAACAAAGGAGTGCACCACCACACCTGGCATTATTATGAAATTTTGGATGTTGAACATGATTGTTGTTTTTATTACATTTTTACCAGATGCTGGAGACATGACTTAGTGGGTAGGAACACTGTTTGCTATTCCAGAGGACCAGATTTCAGTTTCCAACACATGTACAGCAGTTCACAGTGATCTATAATTGCACTTTAGGGGTGCTGATGACACCTTCTGTCCTCCACCAGCACTAAGTATACATGTAGCACAGACATACTTGCAGGCAAAGCATATATACCCATTAAAAGAAATAAAAAGCTTTTCCATTGTTACATCTGCAGAATTTTATTTTAATATAAACTCTAGGATGATGTTTAATATTTAAAACTTCATCAAAGCCTTTTACAAGTTTCTTATCTTTATGTCTCTATTTTACTACTGTTGTAATTTGTAGGCACAAAATACCAGACAATTCTATGTCACATTATTTACAAAGGTATGTTTCTCTCCAATATGAATTTTCTTATGTCTCCTAAGATTCAAAATCTGGAGAAAGGACACATCTGTCTTTGCATTTGTATGGTTGTTCTCCATTATGGATTTTCTGATGTCTCCTTAAACCAGAAGAGTGGACAAAAGATTTGTCACATTCCAGACAACGGTAAGGTCTCTCTCCAGTATGAACTCTCTGATGTGTTCTAAGATGTGAGTCCTGTGTAAAGGACTTGTCACATTCCATACATTTGTAAGGCTTCTCCCCAGTGTGAACACTCTGATGTCTACTAAGATTTGAGCAACTGGTAAAGGATTTGTCACATTCCTTACAACTGTAAGGTCTCTCTCCAGTATGAACTCTCTGATGTCTTCTAAGACTTGCAATATGAATATAGTATATGTTACACTGTTTGCATTTGTGAAGTTTCTCTCCAGTATGAATTTTCTGATGTGCTCTAAGATATGAGCAGCTGGTATAAGACTTATCACATTCCTTACATCTGTAAAGTTTCTCTCCAGTGTGAACACTCTGATGTCTTCTAAGATCTGAGTGTTTGGTAAAGGGTTTGTCACATTCCTTACATTTGTAAGGTTTCTCCCCAGTATGAATTTTCTGATGTGTTCTAAGAGTTGAGTTCCAGGTAAAGGATTTGTCACATACCTCACACTTGTAAGGCTTTTCACCTGCATGGATTCTGTAATGCCTGTTGAGATGTGATAATTCAAAAAAGGACTTACCACATTCTTTGCATTTGTGAACATTCTCCAGAAAATGAGTTTTCCTATGCCTGCTCAATGATGAATAGTGTGGAAAGGATCTGTCACAGTCATTGCACTTGAAAAGCTTCTCTCCAGTATGGAGTTTGTAATGGCTTTTAAAGTGTGAAAGCTGATAGAAGACCTTGTCACATTCTTGACAACTATAGTGTCTCCCAGCAGTATGCATTTTCTGATGTCTCCTGAAATTAGAATAGTGAGCAAAGGACTTGTCACATTCTTTACATTTGTAAGGTTTCTCTCCAGTATGCAATTTCTGATGGCTATTGAATGCTGACAACTGAGGAAATGACTTTCCACATTCTTTGCATTTGTAAGGTTTCTCCCCAGTATGAAGTCTTTGATGTGTTTTAAGACTTGACCACTGGGTAAAAGACTTTTCACAATCTTTGCACTTGTAAGGTTTAATTCCTGTATGTATTCTCTCATGTACAGTGAGGCAGGAGGCAGTACTGAAGCATTTCCCACATTTCTCACATCGGTGTGGTGTCTCCCCAATGTAGATTGGTTGTTGCAAAAGCCTGTAAGCAGAGCTGAAAGAGTCATCATGTTCTCCCTGCCTGTGATCTTTCCTTGCAGTGTGGACTCTCTGACCCTGAGTAATATTGGAACACAAATTTAAAGATTTCTCACAGTCTTTGGATTTGCAAGTTTCTTCTCCAGTGTGCATGGTTTCATGTCTACCTGGGTTTGATGAGTCAACAGAGGCATCCCTGTGAATGCTGCATCCGTAGTTATTAGAGTTTTCTGTAGTTTCACTTATTCTATAAAGTGCACATGTGGAGGGGTCATGAAGCACTTTGGCACGCTTATTACACTGACAAGACTCCTTTTCAGTCTTCACATGGTAATGGACAGGATCACACTTGCAATAGTTTTCTGAAAAAGAAACAGTTCAGATTAATAGGGTCTATTCCAATAATAAGCATGTGATAAATTACTATCTCCCTAAGTTCTTTTAAGATAAGTCAATCTGAAACTATTTAGATTAGAGCTTCCACTGTAACTGTATGGATTCTCACAAACACAGCATGACAGCCTTCAGAGTCAGTGAGTTATAACAGATATCTCATATTTATCCAAAATCACTAACTGGAAAAAGGAAGTAAAAAATAATTTAGTTTGATTAATTAGCTTTGCAGTAGAGCTCACTGAGTGATTATAATTAGAATACATGTCTGCATCTTAAAATTTCTTTTCAGAAATAGGTATTGCAGAGTTTAATCCAATCCCAGGTTCACAGTATTTATACTAAGTGATAGGCAATGAGGAATACTGTTCAGAAGACCTAATTCCTTTAAAGAGTTAAGTCTTCCTCAGTAGCATCACAGGGTTTATTTTACTCTCTAGAAAAACACATTAGATTTTTTAAAAGTAATGGATGAAAAGATAGCATTGTGATAAACACTAAATGCCCTACATCATGTGAGGCAGGGCTGTCATGGGCAGCTATTGCTTATTTCTATACTCCACTGTCTGAGCTCCACACACTGCTGTGTTTCTTTTTCCTTTTTTCTTTTTTCTTTTTTTTTTGTTTTTGTTTTTGTTTTGTTTTTTGTTGTTGTACATCAGCTACTGAGATTATTTCCCAGAAGGGTGTCTGTGTTATCTTCCACTGGGAAAAAAAGAAGGACATAATATGAAGAATGCATACAAGGAAGGCAATTACAGAATAATGGTACATCATGGACTTAGGTTAAGACTTAAAATTTGGTAAAATTATTCCAATCTGATTTCGGAATAGTCAAATAAAACTGCATTTAGTACTAGTATTATGTTACCATAATTGATGTGTAATAAGACACAAACCCTACTGACAGTTATTATAACAACATGATGCAACCCAGGGCCAGAATACTACACTAAATTAAATGATCAGGACTCCTTCCGAGAGGAACTGAACTTCAAAGAAACAAAACAAAACAGGCTAATACCTGGTATGGGACCTCTTACTCATGCATTTTGTTTTGTATCACTAATTTGCAGCTTCTGCTCCAAAGGAGAATAGGTTTTCTTAAAGTGAGCCTCACTTCTGAATTCGTAGTGATTTGTGTATGTACACATATTTTAGTATCCCATTTCATTTTGCACATGCAGGAATATTGTATAAATGAGTGCCTTTTATTCTTGTATTACAAGTAATATCATGGTCCCATTGTAGGCTTATGAACCTCCTGAAGTTGTCATTATTCTTTTAAAATGTACATATATGTAAAATATGAGACTTCCTCACTAAAGCAGGGTTTCAAAATTTTGGGGAAACATGAATTCATATTTACTTCAAATACTAAGAATTAGGTTTAGATATGAAAAAAGAAAACTTGTTTTGATCTCAGGTATAAAAATAGATCATTTTGGATTTTGTGTAATATAGACACTTAAAAAGTCATAATTTGTTGCTAAAAGTTGTTTGGAAAATCATGCCTTTGAATGAATTGTTGATGACTTGCACTGCCACTCTCTCTGCCATACGTGTAGAATCACATTTATGTACATCCAGAAGTACTAGGAAAGCTGAGTTGGTATTTGTCACCTGTGTTTACAAATTGCATCTGTACACTTTAGAGCTACCAAAGTAGATTGATTTGACCAAAAACATTGCTTAATTCTTTCAATTAAATTTTGTAATTAATGGAAAAAGAGGGAAAAAAAGGATTTTAACGTTGAAAAATCATTCTCGGTTCTGGCTTTCTCTTTTACTTGCAGCCTTCACTGTTGTCCTGCTCATTCACTAGTTCACCCTAGTGTGGTTCTCTCTCCTTTCCACATTCCAGGGCAATCTCATTCTTTCCAGACAGGTGGCCATGCCTGCCTTGACATAATAATCTACATGTTCTTTGAGGCAACCAGATTACCCATGCTACAACTTTCAGAAAGCATACAGAAGTCTAAGACAGTATTGTACTCAGTACATGAAAACAGAAAGAAGAGGAATTTAAACAGGATCCCCCCATTGATATTTCTTATCAAATTCTTCAGTATATTTAGTATTTTCAGTTTGGGTACCTTGAATTTTCCTCACAATTAAAATTATGTTAATTGCAATAATGGATATGATGCTGTAAGTTATGAATAGAAATATATGCTACTGAGTCTCCAGATGAATTCTGGAACCCAAATGAAGGGTGGATGCCAGCTGCAAAATGGAAAATGGAAAGAAGAAACTAAATAGCATGAAAATGGTCTTCCCTACTATTAAATTATGCCTTGCCTTCTGTTAGTTTTTTCAGGACAGCCTAACAGACTTTAGATCCCATGATGTCAGAACAGGCAAAAGATGGATTAGGAATTCTACAAGCAAAATGTTCTCACCCACAGAGAGCAGGTTGCTGTAATTCTCCAACATCACATCAATGTACAAAGCCCTCTGAGCAGAGTCCAGGCATTCCCACTCCTCCTGGGGGAAGTCCACAGCTACATCCCCAAATGTCAACAGACCCTGAAACAAAAAAGTATGGTTTTACCATTTGCTACCTGGATGTGCTTTCCTAGATATATGGAGATAGAATGTAAATGAGTGAAGATAATTACTCAAAAATATAATTTCTAATGTAGTCATATTCTATCATGCATATTCTAACTCTGTGAAAACATGATGACACAATAGTCTTAAAAGAAGTAAACAAGCTGGGCAGTGGTGGTGCATGACTTTAATCCCTGTATTCGGGGAGGGAGAGGTTAGCAGATTTTGAGGTCAGCTTTCTTTACAGAGAAAATTCCAGGACTGCCAGGGCTACACAGGAAAACTCTGTCTTGAGGAAAAAACAAAACAAAACAAACAAACCGTCATGGGATACATGATACCTTGTCTCATAAACAAACAAACTGGCAGTACACATGAAACAAGACACACATTTAAGGTCTGGACACAGTTATCTATCTGTTATGGATGCTGTGATTATATTACACAGGACCACAGCAAACATGTCTCAGAAGGATAATTCATGATAAAATAATGTATCTTAAATGCTGTACCTATAGATCATGTTAAAATACTGACACCAAGAAAGCTGATGTTTACTTGGGCCTAACATGACTCTATTTTAACAGGCTCAGCTGTGATATATTTAACTGTTGGTACAATGCCACATCATTAAATTACAAAGGGGTAGGTGTAGAAGGCAGAACATATGAATGATTTTATAAGCAAGATTTTGTTTTTTTTTCCACAGTATTAAGGATGTAACAGTACTATACACTGTCAGTTTTAACATTAACATATAAGTAGTTTATGGAATTAATGTGATGAGAACATTTGGGCCATTATGAAGAGATAGAAAAATCTGTATCAGCCATATTTGATATAATCAATTTTTCCCTAAGAATATGATAAGCCAATAGAGACAAATAACAATTTCAGAAGTTTGGAAGAATATTTCACTTCAATCCCAAAGAGTTAAAAAATTGAGGGAAGTCCAAAAGCACATCAAACATTGCTTATGATACACCTAAGAGAATCTATACCAGTGACACCTTGAATAAAGGTCATAGCAAGAATTAACCAAAAATTAAAATAATTAAATTCACAAGAAAGGAAATTGCAAATCAACAAATGTGTAAACAAATTAAATACTTTTCAAAGACAGAAACTCAAATGGCCAATAAACATTGCAAAAGAGGCTAGACATCATGTAAGTCAAGTTTAACAGTATTCCTTTCGTAAGGAATGTGCTGTCAGTCATTGCCTGATTTTAGTATAATAAACAAGTGTGCACCAGAAAAAAAAAATATATATATATAATATATATATATTATATATATATATATACACACACACACACAATATATATATATATATATATATATATATATATATATATATATGCAAAGTAAAGCTAAGTACTTTTCTGGTTCTAATTCTGTCAAAGGTTTTTGCTGTTTGGATGACGGATAAATATATCAAAATGTATCCAATTGAGGAATATAAAATCCCATGGGAGGCTCCAGAGCTTCCCTACAACAACTGTATCTGTATGAACTAGGTTGAGTTGTATAGTCTTTGGGTCTACTTCATTTCAGTGTGTGAGTTTGTTGCTTCTCTGTTTGCAGAATTGTTCATACTAAAATTTCAAAAAATTACCAAAAGGTTTCAAGATATAAATGCACTACATCTGTAGATAAAGAATGGAATGGACCACTGACCTGCAACAGGTTTTCTGGAGAATGAGCCATTTCTTATGATTTCTCTTCTTTGAGTTTCTCTTTCAGGAACAATGAATAGATGGCTTGCTTCCCTTTCAAATCAAAGGGTGAAAAGGGAAGAGTTAGAATTAATACTGAAAGCTGTTGAAGAGCAATGTCAAACCACCTGAAAATATGAAACCAACAGAATTCCACCAGGTCTCTAGTCAATAATGCTAAAGTAGGAGAGCATGGAAGACATCTGAAGCTTGAAGAGAAAATCACCATCAAGCATCTTTTTATACAAAGAAAACTACTCTCTTAAAATTGATGGAGACAAAAGTCTATCTCCTGGTAGTCACCAACAAACACAATTGATTTCACTAAAGCAGCTCTGAAGATAATAAACTAGAGGCAAAACATACACAGGAATCATCCATGAGAAAGAACACTGGAAATAATAATATTCATGTGAAGAATAGATAAATACAGGAGAAGTTGAAAAAAATCATCCACGAGCAAGACAGCAAATCACTACTTCTCAAAAAAAAAAAAAAAAAAAAAAAAAAAAAAAGGAAAAATACTACCAATAATCCAAACAGCTACAATATAAAAACAAAACCATAGGAAATTAAAAGGCCATGAACAAAAAAACTAGCCACAGTGAAAATCAAAATAGAGAATCCTCAATTAAATAAACAAGCCCTCAAATTAAATCAATTCAGCACCTGGCCCAGTTGTTCCATTTCTTGGCATAGGTTCAAAGTACTCAACATCCTACTCCATAGATACTTGCTCACTCATGTTCACTTCTCTGCTCACAACAGCCACAAAATGGAAACAACCTAATGTCCTTCAGCTAACAAAAGGACAGTGAAAATGTGATATATATAAATACTATGGAATACTATTTAGCTATAAAGAAAATTGATATCATGAGCTTTGCATGTAAACAAATGGAAAAATGGACTTGGAAAAGGTCATATTGAGTGAAGTAACTCAGACCCAGACAATGCATTTTTAATTCCTAGCTCCAAATCCTCAGGTATGAGTACACAACCTGGAGTCTGGAGTCACTGCCATAACAAAAAAAAAAAAAAAAAAAAAGGACCAGAGAATGTGGGGAAGTACTAGAGAAAGAAAACCAGGGAACAAATGATCTTTAGGAAGAAATGGAAAAATGTGGGTAAGGATTTAATTATGGAGGAGGGACAGATATAATCACAGAAGAAAGAGGGTAAAATAAGAGTATGGCTGTTTGGAAAATTCACAAGGAATCAATATATCCATCCACAAAAAAAAAAAAAAAAAAAATGCCCAAAATATACCCAAGTTTCTGTAAACACATACATTTAGAGAATAAATGATCATTTCCCAACTGCTCTGATGATGCTCCTCACAAAGCCATAGAATTTCCACCAAAACAACCAACACCAGGTGTAGAAAGCCTGCTTTGAAACTGTCAGTTGTCCAAGAGACTTCCAAACACCAAAGGGTACTGTTGTTGCCCATGGTTCCTTCCCAGCAGACACAGAAGGTGAGTTCCTAGTGCTGAAGAAGTCACACACCCCAGACACAAACACCAAAGGACTGGAGATAGAACTGATCTTAAAGCCTCCCCGCTGGGGACTAGCTTTCATGGTACCAGGAGGCAACATGCAAGCTTCCAAGGAGAGACCAGCCAACAGTCCTATCCAGCTATGACACCTGTGAAACACAACAGTGATCTGCACTGCATGACAGCCATGGGGGGGGGGGCAAGAGTGGCACACATACCTTGGTGGTAACCAACAGCTTCTAATTGGATTAAGACACTCTCAACAAGACAATAGTCATGCCCGGTGTTGGAATCGTAGCCAGGGCTAGCAAAGGCATGGATTTTGGAGGAGAGCCTATAACTACTACTTTCTAAGTCAGCATAAGTACTTAGTGCATTCTAAATATTTCTCCTAAATTCCAACAGGAGAAAGTATAGAGTGTAGCAGGCTGTAAATATACTTCCTGATTCTGATCATAACTGTGCTGGCATTATTTTCAGGAATGGAAACAAAACCACTAAATAAAGGTACAGAATGTGCTAGAACACCAAAGGTCCAAGATTCTGAAAACAATAAATAAACTAAATGTATCATTTTTTCATCATTTTATAATATATTAAAATCAAAGAAATGAAAATTAACCAACAATGGTTTAAAAATATGATTTGTGATATGAAGGATTAAGAATAGCATCATTCATATTCATAGTCAAAAAATAATTTATTGACTCCATTATCAATTTTTCTGTGGAAAATCTTCTCCTGCCTTCAATAGGATAATCCTGAGGAGTTTTTTTTGGCAGTGAAACTCTCCAGAATTTTTTCTAGTGGCACAGAATGTGGCCAAACTGATTTCCTGTCCCACTTCCACATTAACTTGATCCCCTTTCCACTCCTTCACCAATGCCTCCACCATACCTGCATCCTTAGCCACTGTCTCCTCTCTCCTTCCAGGCCCCTTTGTTCTGCTGCACAGGTGAGCAGGTCTAGGTGATCAGTGAGCCCTGCACAGGAGAAAGAGATTGTTCAGGAAGCCCCTGGATTTCTAACACAGTACTGTTCTCAGTAATGAAGAGAACACTAAATTTAGGATTATACAAAAGATTCCCCAACTCTCCTGCACTGTCAGAGCACTGAGAACAATCAGAAAGCAGTTTTGGTTATCATAACTTGAATCCTACTTCCAATCATAGCTCAAAACTCAGGGGCAGAAATGGTACTGAATGATTAGGAAGAGAGTATCACACACTAGTGAGATTCTGAATTGATCTTGGACCAATAATGATGGATCCTTACACCTCCCAAAGGGACACACAAGAAGAGAGAACATCTCATGAAAATTTTCTTTTTTTTCCTTTCAGGATTTCACTTTATTCCGGGGGATGTGAGACTCACTCCCACAAAGCCTCCTCACTTGCAGATTAGTTGGTCAAGAAATACTGAGGAGTAGCAAAGAAGACCGCAAGAAGCCTCCTCCTGGGAGAAGTCCACAGTCACACCACTGGCTTTCAATAGACCACAGATTTAAAAAAAAAAAAAAAAAAAGTTTGAATCTTCCTGGTGGTGGCTGCCTTTAATCCTAGCACTTGGGAGAAAATGGTGGTGGGTGGAACTCTGTATTCTCCAGTCCACCCTGGTCTACATGGTTAGTTTGGGAACTGTCAAAGCAATGCATAGCTCTGAGTTCAAGTCTCAAACCCAGCAAATATAAGAACTAAAAAGAACAGTTTGTTCATGTGTCCATGGACAGAGTGCTTTTTTTTTTTTTTTTGAACCAAGGAGAATAATATTGTAGACATTTTCTGATATAGGTGAGTTATCGTGATTATTGAAAAGATGCTTACAGATATTATCCCATACTTCAATGCATTCGAATTTATTTACCATTTTCTATTTTCCCTGAAAGGGTTTTTTTCTGTGTAGTGCTGGCTGTCCTTGAAGTCACTATGTACCCCTTGCCAGACTGCACCTGACTACAATCCACCTGCCTCTGCCTTGTGAGTGCCACCAGGCCTGGCAAAGACACCCCGGAGAACCCTGTGTTTATATTACAGTGTGCACATGTCTCAAGTGGTAAATTAATGGTGGATAAAAGTTTAATTTTAAAAGTTAATGTTTACAAGGACACCGTGGAACTAGCAAAAGTAATATACTTCCAGATTTAATGAAATTTGCAGCCGTTCCTTACATGACTATTATCTCAAAGCCCTCCGCGCATCCAAACCTCCAGTTCCATGCACCACCCTCTTGAATACCGAAGTGCACAACATGGAAGTTAGTGTGGATGATTGTAAATGGAAAGAGCTTTGGCGTTTCCACCCTAGCAAAGAGAATCATGCTGGCAAATCTCAACAGGTAAATTCTAATAGTCTAATAGTAAAAATTACACTATTTTAACAATACTTTGGTAATCAGAAGATCACTGGAAAAAAATAAGGTTTATTCGATATGATTTCAAATACATAAAGAAAAAGACAGGAAAGACATCCCCAATAATGTCTCACAGCCAAACTGCAGAGAAACTGCTCGCACCCCCGGTCCCCTCCCTCCTGGGTCCCAGCCCCGCAGCTCCTCTCACCTGGGAGGTTCCAGGGCAGCCGGGCTGCGGTTCCCGCCACTGCGCTGCTGACTGCGACTTTCCCAGGCTGCACGCGCGGAGACTGCAGCTCCGGAGTTTTCAGGTCCCCGCGGCACCCGCCGTGCCGTCCGCACCCAGATCTGCAGCACAGGATTCCACACCGTGCAGGACCCGGAGCAGCGACAGGGGATGGGTAACGGGCACTGCTGACTTTGGCTCCCCAGCAACTTCCTTAGTCTCATCTTGGGTCTCAGCTTCCGGTCCCCTCTCCTTCAGTCCCTCCCACGCTCTAGACTTCACTAAAGCCCAACCAATGGGCCACCTCCTTCCAACAGCTGTTTCCGGGTGGATGGCCAGATTTATTTAGACAGATCCTTTCAGCTCTTTCTCCCGCTGCCTTCCACACAGCTCCAGCTCTCAGGCTGCCCTGGATCCGCTCTGCAGACTCCACACACGCTTGCTGCCAGCCTAGACCAGAACTGCATCCAGGACGACGCTGCACCCCGGTATCTGACCCCACAGTGAGTTCTGAGCCCTCCAGACAAAAGACCGGCAGCATAATCTCGACTTGACTGCCAGCCTCCCGGGCTACGTTCTTACAGCAAACGGTAACAGGCTAAATTCAATGCCAGGGTCCCTTTACCAACTTAAACATGACACACAAACTTCAAATACTGAAACTTTGCCGTGAGGAGAGAGATTTCAAGAACTTTGAAGAGAAATAGGTGTCTCCACAAGTCAGCGGTCAGCGCAAAGCTGCTAACAGCCCAGGGTTGAATTCATCCCATGCTGCGTGGCTCTCACCACTAGATGGTGATCTTGTCATTTTACTAACTAAAAACAGGTTAGTCTGTGATTTCAAGCTAACGGTCCCTTTAGATAAAGTATAGGGGAAAAATCCAGTGGTGAATGCAGAGATTCTTGACTACCACAGATGAAGAAGATAAGGAGGGTATGTGGTCCCAGACCTGAAAACCTCAGTGACAGCATCCCATCTGTGGCTCTGGGAACCCCGAGGAAGAGGAGGAGGAAAGGAAATGAGAAGGGAAAGAGGAGGGAGGGCTAAGACACGCCGTTCTCTAGACTCCATACAGCTGTTGTAATCAGCAACAGCAACTGTACTTAACCCGCATTGACCTCACACTAGACCACAGTCAGTCTAGGAAAGGGAAAGGCTCACAGGATCCCACTCTATCTCTCAAATGTTGTCTGTGGACGGATTGTAGGAGAACAATCACTGCCTTCAGCTGCAGTCCTCTGCTGAGCCCAGAAGGCTCCAACACGTAGCTCCAAACCCGCATGACTATTGTCTTGTTGAGAGTGTCTTAATCCAGTTAGAAGCTGTTGGTTACCACCAAGGTATGTGTGCCACTCTTGCCCCCCCCCATGGCTGTCATGCAGTACAGATCACTGTTGTGTTTCACAGGTGTCATAGCTGGGTAGACTGTTGGCTGGTCTCTCCTTGGAAGCTTGCATGTTGCCTTCTGGTACCATGAAAGCTAGTCCCCAGCGGGGAGGCTTTAAGATCAGTTCTATCTCCAGTCCTTTGGTGTTTGTGTCTGAGGTGTGTGACTTCTTCAGCACTAGGAACTCACCTTCTGTGTCTGCTGGGAAGGAACCATGGGCAACAACAGTACCCTTTGGTGTTTGGAAGTCTCTTGGACAACTGACAATTTCAAAGCAGGCTTTCTATACCTGGTGTTGGTTGTTTTGGTGGAAATTCTATGGCTTTGTGAGGAGCATCATCAGAGCAGTTGGGAAATGATCATTCATTCTCTAAATGTATGTGTTTATAGAAACTTGGGTATATTTTGGGCATTTTTTTTTGTGGATGGATATATTGATTCCTTATGAATTTTCCAAACAGCCATACTCTTATTTTACCCTCTTTCTTTCTGTGATTATATCTGTCCCTCCTCCATAATTAAATCCTTACCCACATTTTTCCATTTCTTCCTAAAGATCATTTGTTCCCCGGTTTTCTTTCTGGTCCTTTTTTTTTTTTTGGTTATGGCAGTGACTCCAGACTCCAGGTTGTGTACTCATACCTGAGGATTTGGAGCTAGGAATTAAAAATGCATTGTCTGGGTCTGAGTTACTTCACTCAGTATGATCTTTTCCAAGTCCATTTTTCTATTTGTTTACATGCAAAGCTCATGATATCAATTTTCTTTATAGCTAAATAGTATTCCATAGTATTTATATATATATCACATTTTCACTGTCCTTTTGTTAGCTGAAGGACATTAGGTTATTTCCATTTTGTGGCTGTTGTGAGCAGAGCAGTGAACATGAGTGAGCAAGTATCTATGGAGTAGGATGTTGAGTACTTTGAACCTATGCCAAGAAATGGAACAACTGGGCCAGGTGCTGAATTGATTTAATTTGAGGGCTTGTTTATTTAATTGAGGATTCTCTATTTTGATTTTCACTGTGGCTAGTTTTTTTGTTCATGGCCTTTTAATTTCCTATGGTTTTGTTTTTATATTGTAGCTGTTTGGATTATTGGTAGTATTTTTCCTTTTTTTTTTTTTTTGAGAAGTAGTGATTTGCTGTCTTGCTCGTGGATGATTTTTTTCAACTTCTCCTGTATTTATCTATTCTTCACATGAATATTATTATTTCCAGTGTTCTTTCTCATGGATGATTCCTGTGACTCCCCTGTGTATGTTTTGCCTCTAGTTTATTATCTTCAGAGCTGCTTTAGTGAAATCAATTGTGTTTGTTGGTGACTACCAGGAGATAGACTTTTGTCTCCATCAATTTTAAGAGAGTAGTTTTCTTTGTATAAAAAGATGCTTGATGGTGATTTTCTCTTCAAGCTTCAGATGTCTTCCATGCTCTCCTACTTTAGCATTATTGACTAGAGACCTGGTGGAATTCTGTTGGTTTCATATTTTCAGGTGGTTTGACATTGCTCTTCAACAGCTTTCAGTATTAATTCTAACTCTTCCCTTTTCACCCTTTGATTTGAAAGGGAAGCAAGCCATCTATTCATTGTTCCTGAAAGAGAAACTCAAAGAAGAGAAATCATAAGAAATGGCTCATTCTCCAGAAAACCTGTTGCAGGTCAGTGGTCCATTCCATTCTTTATCTACAGATGTAGTGCATTTATATCTTGAAACCTTTTGGTAATTTTTTGAAATTTTAGTATGAACAATTCTGCAAACAGAGAAGCAACAAACTCACACACTGAAATGAAGTAGACCCAAAGACTATACAACTCAACCTAGTTCATACAGATACAGTTGTCGTAGGGAAGCTCTGGAGCCTCCCATGGGATTTTATATTCCTCAATTGGATACATATTGATATATTTATCCACCACCCAAATCCCAAAACCTTTGACAGAATTACAACTAGAAAAGTACTTAGCTTTATATCTTTTTTTCATGACTGGTGTTCATTACTTGCATTCAATCCCTGATAATTTATGCTTATCTGTTTTCTTTTCTCCATGTTATACTATACCCACATATATGTTGTTCTGATATGTATTATTTGGTAGATTATAAAAATTACCAAAAATTTGGTGTCATTTTTCTAAAAGTGTATGACCTCAGTCAGTATTACACATCTGGGGTCCTTCCTTTTCCCTGCCACCTTTTATTATATTTTTTTCTTTTCTTCAGCTGAATAGCATTCTATTTTATACAATTTTCATAATCTATTCATCTGTTGATAGGTAATTAGTTTGATTGCTGTACTTGTCCTTGGGTGATTAAAATAGCAGTAATCATGAGGTATGAGTATTTCTGTGGTGCGTTGAGTTGTTCTCTGGGTATATGGTGCAGAGTGAAAGAGCTGGGTCATATGTTAGTACTCTCTTCAATTTTTTCAGTGCTATCCAAATTGGTTCCTTCAATATCTGTTCTAGTTTGCACCCTTTCCTCCATCAACAGTGAATAAGGATGCTTTATCTCCATATCCCCTCAAACATTTATTGTCAGGTTAGTAGTTGATGATAGCCATTCTGCCTGGGGTGAGCCACTATTTCCAAGTAGTTTTACTTTGCATTTCCATGGTGGCATTTTGGGGATTCTGAAAGCTTTTGTAATGTTTACTGGCCTTTTGAGTTTCTGTCTTTGAAAATTATCTATTTAGTTCATTCCTACATTTGTTGATTTGTGATATTTTTTCTTGTGAATTTAATTATTTTAATTTTGGTTAATTCTTGCAATGATATTTATCCAAGTTGTAACTGTTATAGATTTCTTAGGTATACCATAAGCAATGTTTGATGTGCTTTTGGACTTCTCTCAATTTTTTTACTCTTTGTGACTGAAGTGAAATATTCTTCATAACTTTTGAAATTGTTATTTGTCTCTGTTGGCTTATACATAGGAAAAAATAGATTATATCAAATATGGATGATACAGATTTTTCTATCTCTTCATAATGGCCCAAATGTTCTCATCAGATTAATTCCATGAACTACTTATCTTATATATTAATGTTAAAATTGACAATGTCTAGTGCTATTACATCCTTGCTACTGTGGAAAAAACCAAAATCTTGCCTATAAAATCAGTCATATGTTCTGCCTTCTACACCTACCCCTTTGTAATTTAATGATGTGGCATTGTACCAACAGTTAAATATCGCAGCTGAGCCTGTTAAAATAGAGTCATGTTAGGCCCAAGTAAACATAAGCTTTCTTTGTGTCAGTGTTTTAGCATGATCTGTAAGTGCAGCATTTAAAGCTCATCATGAAGTATCCTGAGACATGTTTGCTGTGATCCTGTGTAATATAAACACAGCATCCATAACAGATAGATAACTGTCCAGACCTTAAATGTGTGTCTTGTTTCATGTGTACTGCCAGTTTGTTTGTTTATTGAGACAGGTTATCATGTATCCCATGGTGGGTTATTTGTTTTGTTTTGTTTTTTCTCAAGACAGAGTTTTCCTATGTAGCCCTGGCAGTCTTGGAACTTTCTCTGTAGACTAGGCTGGACGCGAACTCACAGAGATCCGCTTACAGAGACCTGCTTACCTCTCCCTCCCCGAATACAGGGATTAAAGTCATGCAACACCACTGCCCAGCTTGTTTACTTCTTTTAAGACTATTGTGTCATCATGTTTTCACAGAGTTAGAATATACATGATAGAATATGACTACATGAGTTTTGAGTAATTATCTTCGCTCATCTACATTTCATCTCCATGTATCCAGGAAAGCACATCCAGGTAGCAAGTGGTCAAACCATACTTTTTTGTTTCAGGGTCTGTTGACATTCAGGGATATAGTTGTGGACTTCTCCCA